GAGGGAGGGAGGCAAGGATTGGTTTTAATACAAAAAAAGCCCACCCTTACAATTTCCCATAATCTTTTTGGGGGGGATTAGCACGGATCGTGTCTCCTCAGCTCCTCTTAGCTCCTCCTGAGTTCTCCTTTATATTACTACGCACTAATGACTGCATTTGTTCTATCATGATATATCATATTATATTATATATATATTCAGGTTTATATACACGACACTACAGAGTAAGGTGAATAAGTGAGAATAAACATAATAAAATAGCGTTCTACAAGTATTTTTACACCGCGTCCCTTTATAAACAGATATAGGATACACTGGTGGTTTCCTCGCTATAAATCTCCCTCAGAAGCCTCCTCGTTTCCGTCGTCTCCTCAAGGTGCATTTTAGGAATTAGACGATCTCTGTTGATGGCAGAGAGGGGTTGAGAGGACTCGAGAAGTTGCGTTATGAAAAAAACACACCCAAGTGAGTTATTGCTGTCCGTTCCTCCACAATAGATTTGCAACATTAACACCAACGGCCAGTTTTAAGAGAATTGTGTCTTAAAGAATCCTTGAATAACTTGAAATACGACTTTGTGCTGTTTGGACTATTATTTGTTTTCCATTTTTGACAAATTAAAAGCAAGCCGAATTAGCTGTTAACTGCTCTGTTTTGCTTGTGTATCTACAGACATACAGACAACTATCACCGGATTACTTTAATACTGAGAAAACCTAAAAAATGTGAATTATTCCTAAAGGCAAGTTCTGTAGCGTCTTTTTTTCCCTTGATTTCCTAAGCGGATTTATGGACTTTTTATTTTGGTGCTCAAATACATTTAATGATAGAATATAATTTATTGCATTAATCTGAAATATGAATATGAATAGATAAGGTTTTTTACATGCTTGATCTCACCAGTACTGTTCCAGTCATTTACACTTCTCATAAACCGGCCCTGGCAATGTCTTCCTTCGTTGTCTGGGAAAGATGTTGTCCTGGTCAGTGGTATGACGTTTTGATTGATACCTATCATTTCACGTGCGCCTGACCAGGCGACCTGGTCAAAGGTGTGTCCGTTTGTGGGCAGGAGGGTGGGGCCTAACACAAAATGGCCAGTGTTCCCAGGCATCCCCACTCAGTTCTTCCATCGCTGTACTAGAAAAATAACTATAAAGGGAAAGGACTAGACCCGGGGAAACTCCAGATCTTCCTCTCACATAACCAAACTCTTGACATTCTGGCTGTAGCTTCACTGTTGCTATTAAAATCCCCAGACTCTGATTAGCAGCCTTCCTCCATCTGTAGCAACGCGTCCTTCTTTTCCCTTTTGTTTCCGTGTCTAAACGGACAGCGCGTCTCTCTGACACCTCTCTCTCCCCCTTTCTTCCCCCCTCCTACTCCTGCAGCGAGAGCCCGTTTCAGCGACCGGGGGAGCGCATGGAGGGAGGCCGAGCCCGACGGCGGCACCGAAACCCAGACCAGCGACGAGGGTACGCGTGACCCTTGACCTTTCACACATCGCCCACACTCATCGCATCCTCTCTCTCTCTCGCCTGATGTTCCCTGCTGGAGGAGTTGCTACGGCAACCGCACGCCATGGAGACATCTCACCCTCCCCCCTCCTTCTCCACACCAGCCGTCTCCCCTCCTCCTCCTCCATCTCTCTCTCTATCTGAATGAACAGAAAAGACTTAAGCCTTAATGTTTCTGTTTTGTTTTTTTTAAATGCTCTTGTACTTTGATTGGTCGAGCTGTGGGAGGAACAAAGCCGTAAGAGACAGCTTGATTGACAAGGTGAGGTTCACCTCTATTTCCACGTCTCGCTCTTATCTATCATCCCCTCCCTCCTCTCTCCCTCTTCTCTCTCTCTCTCTCTCTTCTCTTGGCAGAGGAGTGAGGGCTGTGGGAGGCTGGGTGCGAGGTTTCGACTACTGTGGGCCGGGTCGGGGCCGCGAGCTCTCCTTCAAGAAGGGGAGCGTCCCTGCAGTGCCTATCCAGCGCCGCGTCGCTCATGACTTGGTGGGGAGGGCGGCACACGGCAACCACGGCCTGGTGCCTCACCAGTACATCGTGGTGATAAGACAGGCGTGCCACGGTTCCGGATGATCGCTTCCTTTTCAATTTTGTGTCCTTTAATGTCCAGTTTGAGATTAAAGTTTATGATACTTCCACCTTTTACTACTTTTTTAAGTCAAAAACCAACAATGAACGTATCCTATATTAATCTGAGTATAGATCTCATCCTCTGTGCCCACATGGAGCTCCATTATTACCAACAATGCATATACATATTTAATTCATTACCTATTACATTTTTACACACAAACTGTAAAGTGTCAGGTGTTCCTGTGGCTCCTTCAAAATAATCAATTAAAAATTAAGTGTTCATAATTGTCTTTAAAATTTACTGTAGGGTATTAATTTTGATAATTTTATTATTGTAAAGTATACCAGTATGTGTTTATATAGTTTTAATTTCCTAATGAGCCATGGTCTGGGCGTTTAATGACAAATGGTTGGAAGAGATAAGTCTTTTCAGATGGTGGTTGAAAACAGGAAACAGGAAGTGATCTGGGTGATAATTTAATGGTCGAAAATGGTTAATGTTTGCATCCATTCTGGGTGGGTGAAAGACGTTGAAATTCTTAGGGAGGGAGGGAGGGAGGCAGGATTGGTTTTAATACCAAAAAAGCCCCACCCTACATTTCCCATAATTCTTTGGGGGGGATTGCCACGGATCGTGTCTCCTCACTCCTCTTAGCTCCTCCTGAGTTCTCCTTTATATTCTACGCACTATACTGCATTTGTTCTATCATATTATATCATATTATATTATATAATATTCAGGTTTATATACACGACACTACAAAGTAAGGGTGAATAAGTGAGAATAAACATAATAAAATAGCGTTCTACAGTATTTTTACACCGCGTCCCTTTATAAAAGATATAGGATACACTGGTGTTTCCTCGCTATAAGCTCCCTCAGAAGCCTCCTCGTTTCCTCGTCTCCTCAAGGTGCATTTTAGGAATTAGACGATCCTCTGTGATGGCAGAGAGGGGTTGAGAGGACTTGAGGAAGTTAGCGTTATGAAAAACACCCAGTGAGTTATGCTGTCGTTCCTCCACAATAGATGCACATTACACCAACGGGCCCCCAGTTTTAGAGAATTGTGTCTTAAAGAATCCTTGAATACGACTTTTGCTTTTGGACTATATTTGTTTCCATTTTGACAAATTAAAAGCAAGCCGAATTAGCTGTTAGCTGCTCCTGTTTGCTGTGTATCTACAGACATACAGACAACTATCACCGGATTACTTTAATACTGAAGAAAACCTAAAAATGTGATTATTCTAAGGCAAGTTCTGTAGCGTCTTTTTTCCTATGATTTCTAAGCGGATTTATGGACTTTTATTTTGGTGTAAATCACATTTAATGATAGAATAATTAGCCATTAATGAAATATGAATATGAATGAAAGGTTTTACATGCTGATCTCACCAGTACTGGTCTCCAGTCATACACTTCTCATAAACCGGCCCGGGCAGCTCCTTCGTGTCTGGGAAGATGTTGTCGTGGTTCAGGATGACCGTTTTGATGACCTCATTCACGTGCGCCTGACAGGCGACCTGGTCCAGGGTGTCCGGTGTGGGCAGGAGGGTGGGGCCGAACACAATGGCCAGGTTCCCAGCATCCATCATGTTCTCATCGCTGTACTGGGAAAGGCTGCGGGGAAAAGGGAGAACAGCAAGAGAGTGCTGAAACATTTGGCAGGATTACTTGTTTTTCTTGCTTTTATTTTGAAAAGCACATCCTTATATCGTTATCCTTACTTTGGATGAACATTTTGGTCTACATCGGCTCTCTTTTAGCACCAAAATATCCAATAATAATCTATTTACGCCTTCATTTAATAAGATAAAACCAAATCCTATTTATTTTTTACACTATTTATGCTCAGCAGTTTCTATTTAATGTATTATATTCTGTAATTTCCTCTCTATTTGGTAGCTTTCATGCACGAGGGATTCACAGGAAACGACGCACGCTCATTGATATCAGCCTCACTGTTTACTGTTTATGTTCCTAGAGCTGTAACAGAGCTGGATTAAGCCACTGCTAATGCTAACATTCATAACTGCTTCACATTAAAAGCATCCAACTCACAAAACATGTTTTTATTTCTTTGCCTATCGCTAACTGCGATCATTCATCAAAAAACATGTCTACAAACTGAGACACGGTCAGGGAATCACTGGCAGATTAATCCAGATATAAATAATTGACGTATCTGTGCTAAAAGGATGAGGTGCTATAATTTTACTGTTAAGTACAGAAGCAGATATTTATCTCAGAATATTGGCAGAAAACTGAGGAAACCTTTTTAAGGATTTCTTTTTTAATTACAAATCAAGTAAAATAAAGTTTATTTATACATTTAAAACAACCAAGTGCTGTACAAATTAGTCAAGAATGTTATTTTAATTTACAAAATGTTCAATTAAGTTAGATTAAGAGTTAAATTAACTTTGTTTAACAGTGTAAGATATGAAAATGACATGCCAAATTATAAAACTGAGTCAAATGTAGACTAATAAAAAGATTAAAATGTATAAATAGACCAGATAAAAACAGATAAATAATAATAAAATACATATATATAGACAAATTAATTAATAAAAGAAAAAAAAAAGCCAGACCCTCAGGTCCTCAGGAAGGCTGTTTGAGAGACCTGAGCTTCCACATTTGGACCTGGAAGTAAAAAACCGATGGAAACAGAAATATTTTCACTCTCATTGACAGCTAAAGCTCCTGGTTCAATAAAGCCGAACACACTTCATAGGTCCTGCTAATAAAACGCTGGCAGATCGCACTCACTTCCCCTCCTCTCTCCATCCCTTCGCCGCTCTCTCATTCTATATTTATTTGAGAGGCTGCAGAGATGAAATGAGCTCTGTTTTATCATCTCCACAC